TGTATCGGTTCGTGTTGGAGCTGATCAGGAGCCAAATACCGAAGAAAAATCTGATTGGTTTGAAAGCTCGTATGTTGTTAAGTCTATCGTGAGTCATGCTCTTGATGAAGACTATGTGAAACAGAAATGGAGATCGGCGCCGGTGGAGGATAAGAAAAGACTTGAGGAGATGTACAAGCTCTTACGCGCGAAAGAGGTAGAGTTTGTGATGTTCAAGACTAAGTTTTTGAATGAGTTGGTTCCTATGATTTTCAAATCTGCTTAAGAACAATTCGGTTTTAGTTATACTAAGTTTATCGGCTTTAGTTGAAATGATATCCTCGTTTTGTGGTTGCTCTCATGTTTTCGAATTGTTAACTCTATTTTTGTGGAAGTGTTTTTGCCAAGCTTTGGCATTTAGTTGCAATATTGTTTCAATTTTACTCTGAAAAACATTATTCGGATCTTAGTAAGGTATGTTGAATCAAATGTTGTTTCTTCTAGACAAATATTGTTGAATGGGTCATAAATTTGCAGAGCATGAGGCTTTGTTTAAAAAAATATTATTGTTATAATTACACTGTTATAGTTTATTTGATACGATATAAAATCACATTAGCCATAAAAGACTAGAACAATATCTTACAGTGAGAGACCATAGCAGTCTTGAGAAATGATAACCAATACAAAATGATGAACACTGCTCCATACAGTTCTGAGTTTCAACAATGCGAATGAAAATGCAACAAAGAATGTCTTAATCTGAATCAAACAAGTTTATGATACTGGGAAGACCACATAGACATGTGTGTTCATCGCACTCATGACATCGTCTCGACTAATTTAAACATTCAAGGAAAGCTTTTGAGCTGCAAGTGCTTCTGCCTCAAGGGATGGCTCCCAGAGGAGTGTGGTCTCTGCCAAAAGTCCGGTCACAATGTATGGGTCCATGTTTGATGCTGGACGCCGGTCTTCCAAGTAACCTATATCCCATTTCACAACAATATACATGTTAGCAATATATAGCATAGCAAGAGATCTGTGTTACCATTCCGGAATCAGTACCTTTTCCTTTCTTCTCGGTATCACGCCCCACACGAATCGAGCATCCACGGTTAGCAACACCCTGCCAAGTTGAAATCCAAAGCAAATGAGCAGAGGGACACACAATACTGAAATAGAGACTTAAAGTATAACTCTTTCAGACTCCGATTGTGTATGCATACCCATGAGAATTGGTCGATACTAGCTGTCTCGTGCTTTCCCGTCAACCTTCTCTCATTGCCTTCACCGTAGGCACTGATGTGGTCCTTGTGGCGAAGCGAGAGGTTCAAGATCGCCTTTTTGATCACCTCAAATCCTCCCTCCTCTCTCATGCTCTTAGTACTGTAATTGGTATGGCAACCAGCACCGTTCCAGTCACCATCTATCGGTTTGGGATCAAGCGTTAGGACAACACCAGCTTGTTCTGTGATCCTCTGCAAAAGGTAATCAATCAACAGTTACCAGCGCTTAACTCTCACTCATTCACCCACTCCTCTATACAAAAGAAACTTTTGATTACCTCAAGAAGGTATCTAGCACACCAAACATGATCACCTGCTTCAATTCCTACGCTCGGGCCAACTTGGAATTCCCACTGCACAAACGTTTATAACACGAGAGAATTGGCACCTAGTAAAACATGCAATCAACAGAATATATCATAAGAGCTCCATCGAAAAAAGAGACCTGTCCTGGCATAACTTCACCATTAGTACCACTAATGTTGATTCCAGCATATAAGCAAGCTTTGTAATGCGCATCTGAAATGTCACGACCCCAAGACTTTTCAGCTCCAACTCCACAATAGTAAGGACCCTGACAACAACAACATAGAATTAGATCCAACACAAAACATAATCTTTTCGGCTCAGGCTTGATTATCACCTGAGGACCAGGATATGCTCCAACTGGCCAACCCAAAGGCCAGTTGACATTTGGCTGAAGTAAAGTGTACTCTTGTTCAATGCCGAACCTACAACACGATATCAAGTATTCAAACTTAAGCACCATTTGGAGGTAAACCGATTACAATGAGATTTGAGGTAATGACAAACCATGGCAACTCGTCAATGACCTTCTTGTTACTAAAGATCTCAGCAGCTTTGGCACGTTTATTGGTGGGGATTGGCTCACCAGCTGGTGTGTAAGTATCACAGATAACCTTTGAGATATAACAAAAACTCAATGATTAGTGTGTGATTACGAAAAATGTAGCTTATACTATCAAACTCAACTGACACATACCAATATGTTATTTCCCCCACGGAAAGGATCTCTGAAGATAGCTTGCGGACTGAACAAAACAACGTGATACGCAATATAAGAATGTAAAATAACAAGAAAAAAGAGAGAATATGATCCAGTCCGTTGGTGAAAATCTTACTATAGAATCACTTCACTGTCTTCACCAGGTGCCTGTCCGGTACTCGAACCATCATAGTTCCACTTTGGAAGCTCAGAAGGATCTTCCACAGGCTTTTCAAGAGTCTGAAACCATCCATTAGATTATATACATCAGCATCATAGTTTCTGACATAAAAATTTGACTAGAGTCTAGAGAGAATATCATACATACCCTTGACTTGCTTCTCAGATCAATTCCAGATCCTCCAATCCTATTCAAATACAATGAGACACATCAAGGTTTCAACCGAAAAAGTACGAACGATTTCCGCAAGAAAGAAAGCATGTTTGTATATATACCAAATGTACTCAGCAATGATCCTGTCAGTGTAAGGCTTTGTGTCTAAATTGAGAAGAGTCTCAACTCTATTGATTGTACTGTTATCAGACTGAAGAGCAGAGATTTTAAAGTGTCTTGGTTTAGTGCTCTGCTTCTTCTGTTTCAACACAACCGAACTCCATAGCTTGGAGCTTGTGATGACTGAGTGTTTAGGCACTGTCATTTGACATGATGGTGAAGCTGCCAAGATCTGTGCCATTTTTGCAACAAAACAGAATCCCTGATCACATCAAAAGGTACCCAAATTTAGCTGTATCAACAAATCAGTAAGCGGGATTAAGATTCTTGACAAAACTGATTAAACCCAATTCAGTGATTAAATTTGAAAGCAAAAGACAAAGAGATCCATTAAAAAACCAAAAGAGAAGAGTTATGATCTTCGTTTGATTGACTTAAATTCAGAAAGATTAGTGTAAGTGTGTGGACCAGAGATCTAGTGGAATCAGAGGTTTAATTTAGCAAAAGAAAGAGAAAAGATTAAAACTTTATTACCAGAAACAAATGGGTTTTGGAAAAGATGAGATCAAATGCAAGAAAAAAGAGCATACCTGGATTGAAGTTGAAGAAGACTTTAGATGTTTGCAACAGATGGCA